CTAACAAAAGAAGTAAGATGCTGACATGGGGATTCCTAAGGAATTAACCCAGATAAATCATGTTGTGAACAAGTCCATTAGTTAAGTCCTCATCTTTGTGCCAACAGCTCTTAATCAGATTTTTAGCACCCACTTGTTATAGTTTTGGATCTGAAATGTCCTCTTTTGGCTCATTATGTTGAAGCTTGGTCTCTAGTTCGAGATTGTTCAAGGTGGGGATTTAGGGGAGTGATTGGATCATGAGGTCTCTGACCTCATCAGCATATTAATAATTTGAATGCATTATTGGGAGGTGGGTGGAAACACTAATAAAAGATGGAACCTACTTGAAAAGTGGGTCTGTGGGTATGTCCTGTTGAGTACTATACTTTGTCCCAGGCCCATTCCTCTCTTTCTCTCTCTTTCTCTCCTCCCCCTCTCAGCTTTCTGGTTGCCATGAGGTGAACAGCTTTCCTCCACCACACCATTCTGCCACGATGTTCTGCCCTGCCTTGGGCCCAAAGCAATGGAGCTGGCAAATCATAGATTGAATCCTCTAAAACCATGAGCCAAAAATCTTTCCTCCTTTTAAGTTGTTTTTCTCATGTATTTTGTCTTAATGACAAAAAGCTAACACACCACGTAAATAGTCACAGACTGCCAAGAATCATCAGACATTTGGGTTCTATTTTTTATATTGTAATAAACTATAAAAGCCAGACATATGCACTAAGAGAACAAAGCAGCATGGATATTTCCATGTAAGAAAATGTAAAATCAAGCAAAAAATTCTTGATATTAACTTTCTAAATAGATAAAAGTAAATATTATATCCATGAATCAGGAATAGAATGCTATATAACAGAATTATTTAGAGAACAAAAAAATTTTAACCTAGGAACCAAAAAAAATCAATTGCTATTGTAAAAACCCAACACAACCAAACAAAAATCCATTCAGAGGAAGAACTGGAAGGAAAATCTGAGAAAATATTCCTGGAAGTAGAGCAAGCAAAAAAGATTAAAAATTTAAAAAAATTAAGAAAATTAGAAATTCTAAAATTTAAATAACATAAATTAATACAAGAGATTATGGGAAATTAAAGGAAAAAATCAAGACACAATTTTAGAAACAATCAAGAGATAAAGTCATAAGTCTTCAGATTGAATGGGTCCTCTTGATGCTAACATTGAGGATAAAGGCATATTAAGACACACATCACTGTTTAATATCAGAATACAGAGCAACAAAGAGATGACTGTGATAATTGCCAGAGGAAAAAAAAACAAAAGCATCAAGTCAATGTCAACTCCAGGGAAAACAAAAATGTTGTTCGAGAAAGAAAAAAATAATCATAGTATAGAGCTTAGCAGTAAACAGTGTTGTTTCTCAGAAGGACTTATTGGCATTTGTTGTACAGCAATGTCCTGCACATTACAGACCTTTTAGTGTTCCTGGCTTTCATGAACCAAATGCCACTGAGACAATTTCCGTTCTTCCTAGTACTCTAACAAACCAAATATTGATCCACTTTTCAAGTTCCTTCTTAAGAGGCATTAATGAACCAGGTTGAAAATCAGTGGTGCACAGAGTATTAATAATATAAACACTAACTCTTAACCATTAATAAATTTGATTATTAATCCAATCAAAATTAATGGATTGTAAAGATAGGGAGACTAGGAGCTCATAGGCATAGGAGGGAAGGTAGTCATTGAGAGTCACATCCTCATTCTCCTCTTTGAGAAGTCGACAGATAATGTCTAAAACTGACTGATCACAATCCATGCAGTGATTTGGAGATAAATATGCTAGATCAATTAAAAGAGTTGAAAGTTACTTCTTTCGGGGAGGAAGATAGTAAAAAAATGATTGTGGATTGCCATTTTTTGAGAGAAGACTTGTAGAGATGTATGTACATGCAAGTCTAATTTTGATGAAAGGTAAAATGAGTTTTGAGATAACAGTAGAGACTAGTCAGGAAGATGCATTTTTATCTATCCATCTATCTATCTATCATCCATCCATTTATCGATCCATCAATCCACCACCCACATATTAATTTTATAAAAGATGAAAATGAGGCTTAGGAGGCTTTGAGAGGTTAACAAGTAGCCCAAGGTCACAGTCAGCAGAGAAGCCAGAAAGCAAGCCAAAACAATCCAACTGTAAATCCCATTCACTTGGTCACTCTTTGCTGCCTTTAGAAAAGAAAGTGAAGGGAAGGGAGATGGGAGTGGGCAACAGACAAGAGGGAAGAGGGGACAGTAGATGTTCTTTGAGACTCTAGGTGTTGCCTGTGGGACATTGTGACAGACATGATTTAGAGAATTCTCTGCAGGGCTGGGGATGTAACTTAGGAGGAGAGTACTTATGTAGCATGAGTAAGACCCTGGGTTTAACACTTGGGGAAAAAAAAAAGAGCCAAGGAAACTCTTTGCTCAGATACTACTGTAGGACAGCAGATGAATGGAAGAAGCCATGGTTCAAGTTGTTCTTGATGGGCACTCAGAGAGCAAATAAGAGAAGAAAGGGAACTAGTACTCAGTCTCTGGCTTCAAATGCCACCTACTCAGAGTAAGATGAGAGACCTGGAGACTTGTGCCTTTCAACTGGCTGTCCCCAGGGCACTGTCAAACAGCCTCCTTAGTCTATTTAGAATACCCACCTAGTAATTTTCTTTTGGGTAAATTCAGAACCATTCCTTTACAGTATATCTCTATGAATATGTTTAAAAATAATCTCATCCTCAAAATAGTTCAGGTTATGTTTTCCAGCTTTTATGTTTTTCTTGACACAAGGGAAATCTCATCCCTTTTCTTCAAAGACACTGTTTAACTCTATTAGATTACTTATCATATCAGCTATTTGTATAGACATTATTATTTTCATAACAAAATAATCTTTCCTCTGTGCAGAAAATTAGAAAAAAAATTAGAAAATTACAAATAAGAAATAAAAGGCACTTATAATTCCATTGCCTCAGAATAGTCACAGCTTCTGACTGGGTGGAGGCCACCCCCTTCTTACAGGTGAGGGCTCTTTGAGGGTGTGATCAACACCTCCAGCTAGAGTCAATTCTCCAGCCTCAGGCAGGGGACCTGGCAGAGCAAACAAATAAATATTTGAGTATTTAAGTATAAAGCATATTTTAAAAAGTAAAAAGCAGCTAGCCCACTTTGATAGAGATTGGGAGGCTTTGGAAAGTCCATATTTTAACTTTAAATCACCAAACCCATTTTCAAGGTCCTTTCAACATCCTCCACAATCTTGTTCCTTTTACAAAACTCATTCCCCGTGAGGGCTATGTTCTCCTTCAGGATTCATAGGGCATGAGCTCCTTGGGTTCATTCCCATCTTCCCATCTTCCCCTCTTCTAGAATTTTCTTCTCTCATGCAGTTCTGCTGGTTAATATCCTATCCATTCTTCTGATTTCATCTCAAGTCCAGTCTTCCATTCATTTGTCTACTCCATTTCCCCCACTTTCTCCTCTGAATTCTGCAGCTCCTAGATCCTGCAGCTTCACATGTCCTTATACCAAAGAATCATTATTGCACCTGGGTTTTTCTTTTTTCTTAGCAAAGGGCTGGGCACAAGGCCGATATACAATAAAAACAAAAAAATATGTATTTTAGGGTGTTTATTCACAACCATCATACAGCTAATTCTGCATTGGGGGGAGGGCAGTTTCTGAGTTATGCTAAGATGGGTTTTAAAAACTGCTGTTTCAAGGAAGTAGAATTCCAACTATGGGCTTTTTTTTTTTTTGGCTAGAGCTCAAAAAAATATGAAATAGACAGCTGTTTTATTTGGAACTTGTGGATTAGCCACAGACTAACTCCCATGTGAATGAAAGAAGGAAGCTTATCTCCTGAAGTTGAAGTCCCCAAGCACCTAAGAAGACAAGAGAGCTTTAAAGTAAGTGGGAGAAGAGTAAAATACTGCAATCCATTGCAGAAATGTTTCATTAAGCTCCTAGAAAACAACAACTTCAATAAGGGCAGATAGTTCATATTTAGACTTTGGCTAGGAAGATTTACAGAACAAGAAGGATGAATGCCCTTGATCATCAGAACAACCCTGACTTAGCCCTGGATATTGTTGCTTTTGTGAACATGGAGGCTTGACCACCAGGGAAAAGTCTCACACTTCTTCTTAACTTACCCCCTCCAATGGGTTATGTAAATGTACCATCAAGACAGTTAAAGGTACCAGCAGAAGCTGAGGCTGTTTTGTGGAACAGTTTCTCTCAGAGGCACCATCCTCACAGCTCATTGACACGAATCTGTGGTGATTTAAATGAACAGATTCTAATGTGGTCTTTACTTATAATGTCCTTCTCTCTTCCACAATCCTTCTGTAAGATATTATACCTCCCAGATTAGGTGGATTGTCCTCACAGGGCCTGAGGCTCAGAGAGTGGCAACTTGAGAAGCTGCAGTGACATCCTGCAGCAGCAGGAGAGGTGGCTTGTTAGGGAATGGGTACTTAGCTGTTTTGCCAGGAAGGGGAGCTAGACACTGCTGCCCCTGGGACAGGAAGCTGGGAAGCACGTGATTAGGAAAGCATTTCCTGACCAAATTGGTACCCGGGGAAATTACCCAACTAAATGTGGTGAATCTATGATTCCAGCAGGAGAATCTCTTTCTGGTCTCTTGTGCCTTTAAGTTAGACAACAAATTAACTATTTGTGTATAAAGAACTAATAGGTGATGTTACTCATATGATGCCACATCCCTGTCTTTAGAAAAAGCTTCCTGGAACTGGTGCATCCTCAGACTCACCCTGGCCTTCTGGCTTCAGAGATGGGCTGGAGCACTGGATACTTGCCTCTGACATTTTCTCCAAGGCTGTGGTGTGTCTGTAGTTGTTTAAAACTTCTGAATGTCAGCCTTCCTCAATGCCTATTTCTTGGGTGCTAAGTACAAGGTGCTATCCTGGTGGTAGTAAGGTGTGTGGGTGTGGCAGGGGGGTCAAATGTATAAAATATTTCTGTACTTGAGGACTTTATTTTGTAGAGGAAATGGAACATACCTGCCCAGCTCTCATGCCAAGAAGATCATCTTACATGGTTAAAGAGGTAAGGTGGTGGTGGAGTGTCTCAGTCTCTTTGCGCTACCATAACAAAAATGCCTTAAACTTAATGGCATATAAACAATAGAAATGCATTCCTTGCAGTTCTGGAAGCTGAGAAGTCCAAGATCAGGGTGTCAGCAGATTCAGTGGCTGATGAGGACCACCTTTCCAGGTTCACAGAGCCTCCTTTCCCCTGTGTACCTACATAATGGAAGAGGACAGGGGGCTCTCTAGAGCCTCTTTTGTCAGGGTGCTAACCCCAAGTATGCGTGCTTCACTCCACCCATGGGGACACATACCACTGTGTTTGCAGAGAAGAAAGCCCCCCAGGATCTGTCTACTGTAGTCACTGATCCCATTTCATAGATGAGGCAACTAAGAGTCACAAGGTCACATTGAGTCATAATGAAATGTAGAACCTAGATGGGAATATAAATTTCTGTGTCTTTTAAAGCCCATGATCTCTCCATTTACTGCCTATTATGTTCTGTTATGTCTTTCTGGGTCATTTCAGCCAGAAATTTTTGAACCAACCCGTGATGTGGCAGATTCTTTGCAATTATAAGTTATAAATGACGGCTAGAAGACAATGATATGCTAATATCTACTTCAAAGTAAACTGAAGAGAGAAAACCTGAAGTTCACTTTTCTCTTTTAAATTAGGTTACACAGGCCATTAAGCCAAGTAATAATAGATTTTTAGAGTTTTTGGACAGAGCGTACAATGGCCACAACTTATTGCTATGCAAAGAAAAACCAGACATCCAAGGTTAAATACCCAAGATCCTACTCAAAACTAACCTTGTCATCAGCACTAACCACGTAAGGGAGGTTGGAAAAGCCTTTTAGATGTTTAACTTGACTTTTTTTTTTAACCATGGAATTATTTTCTGTATGCTATTTCTAATGAAACTACCCATTTAGTTTCTTAAAATAAAATAAAAAAGCATTATCAAGAAGTAGAGGTTGTCTTGGCTTTGGAGTTGGTGCTAATGATGGGTCTTTTTAATTATGAAAATCATTATCTCTGTATAACTCTGTCCCATTCTTTTTAATTACATAAACCCAGCTCATCCAACTTGATGGTATACAATTAAATGGATTTCAGGAATCTGTAGAAAATCCTGCAAGTTCCAGATGTTCATGTATTCTTTTTCAATTCTCAATTTTGCCAACAAATGTTCTTTGAACAGGATGTGACAACAGAAATTCACACACTGTATACAGATTTTCACTTCTCTAAACACCCTTAGCTTTACAGTAGAATGAACATTCTTCATGGGCAGGGACCTTGTCTGTCTTGCTCATTATCGTAGCCCCAGTGCCTGACAAAAAGTTAAATGCTTAAGTCAGTTTCTCAAGGTGAACTGGACTCCTGTAACACTGGCTTCAATTGCCACTATCACCATTATCACACTACTAAGTAGCCAGATATTCCAAGTGTGATTATTAGAATTTGGGTGGTCTATGTAAACTGAGTTTGGAAAGACTTACTCATCCCCAGATTAATAAGCCAGTAAGCGAGAAACAGACCAGAACCCAGGACTCATGTCTCCAAGTGTGTGTTTATTTTACAAGACAGTCCTGGTTCCTCTTGGTCTCTGGTTAGCTATCTACTCAGCACTGGGTGCTTTGTCTCAGCTTCTCGTAGCAGAGGGGATTGATGCAAACAGTTTTGGAGAATTATTGCTTTTAGTCCCTGAAATCCTCCTGTGAATGTTTCAATATGAAAATGTTTAAGAGCATTTTATTGAAAAACATTTGGCATTGATTAGATATCTATTTCTCTAAACCAAACCAAACATTTTCTAAATCTACAGTAATGCCACGAATTGTTATGTTTCTTTCCTGTATAAGAAGTCATTAGGCTCATATTTTATGTCACAATGATCAATAAATAAGCAACCACATAGTTCTGCCTAATCATTTTGTCTATTGAACCAAATTCTGAAACTCATGACAAATATATCAGAACTCCAGATTTTATCATAATGTTTAACAGAAATGGTTGCCTCTCTAATCTTTAGCCTAAGGTTCTTGACATTTTTTTTTTTTGCTTTTTTTGCAGAACACAGTTCTAATTTTTTTTCAGCTTGATGTTGCTTCCTTTCCCAATTCCTCTAAATCTGGATTATATTTAAGGACATTCAAGAAGCAGTTGTGTATTTGATAGAGTGGCTTATGCTAGCTACAGCCAATTGTTAAATTTTTAGGAATTTTGCAGGCTGGTTATTAATTAAACAGCCATTATACAAATCAAAATTGCTTAAACTTAAAATTAAATGACATTTAAAAACAAATGATAAATATGTAAAACTTTTTACATCCTATTTATCTGTATTCTTGGTTTTATTTGTCTATTGTATTTATATGGTGAAATCACTATATAGTGATATACTATTGTCTGTCTCTTCCCTACTCAGTGTTCAGTGATACCACATTGATAGCTTGGAATTAGCCTTGTTGGGTATATTTTCATGGTGGAAATTGGTATTCTGTACAAAGCAAAGATTTTCCTTTATATGGCCAGTTGTTAAACATTTACCAGCATACCAGTGAGAGCAGAGGTGAGGATACAGTCATTGGAGGGCTCTGGGTTCATTTAACATCAGTATCAACTTGGGGAAAATGCCTAATCTCTCTGATGTTTAGCTTCTACAAAATGAATTTGTTGTGGAGATCATCAGCCTATAATCAATGAAGTTGAGAACAGTGTAAATTACACTTATTTGGATGTAGTTAGGATTGCAATCTGGGAAAACACTATTGAAAGTGTGCTCTGAGGTTTTACAAAATGGCAGCTGTATTTATAGCTTTAATTAGGGGTAGGGTTTGATAATTCCATTATTTGTTAGTCAGGAATTATGACTTGTGGGGGTAGAAGTCAGTTGTCTTGCAAGAAAGGAATTGGGTGGCATCTCATTGTCTCTGTAGCTAGAGTGGGAGGAACTGGTTGTACAGATAGTCAGCCAAGGTTAACAGCATTTAAGATGAGCCTTGTCTACAGCTCAGTTCAAAGCTTCAGCTGCCTAGGCCTGTAGGGATGAGTTCTGAGTAGCAGTTGCTTCTCCACTCCATTGTAGGTGTCTCCAACAAATGCTACTCCATTTTGATTTTTTCCCCCTGCCAAGAATGTGTATATGATACCACAATTCTTACCTTATCTTGTGGAATTTAAAACAATGGCTATTAAAATTAATAATGCTACCTTTGTCTCTTTTCTCTATGTAGCAGGAAGAAACATGCCTTTTCAAAGATAAATGCTGCTGCTTTTGCTATCTGCAGAAGTAGCATCCTTTGTTTTATGGATAGGTATTTCCATTGTTGAAGAATATTTCAAGAATTGATGAAATTGATGGAATATTAGGGGCTTTTAATGGGCAGAAAGGTGTAGACCCTTTGACACAGTCTATGTGGTAACATTAAGTACAAGATGGAACTGAATTTACCTGCACAGTAAAGGAACAGGAATCTGAGGATTCAATGGAAACTTTAGGAAGAAGGGCTCTAAAATAAAGCAGAAAAATGCAGAGAATTGGAGGGTTGTAAGTGGAATCTCCAGATGGACACAGGAGAGGGAGCTACTAGCAGGGATGCAGACAAGGACTGAAGGGAAATCCATCCAGGAAGAAATTTTCCACCATGGATGTGGGGACAGATACGCAACCTTCAAGGTAAAGTTGTTCCTGGTTTTGATTTAATTTTCCTCCATTGCTGCCACACCTAATAAAAGTAAAGGACATTGTGCTACTGGTGCTTTGGGGAGCTGACATGAACCAACTAGGAAAGACATAGATAATTCAGTGGAAGGAAAGGGTGTGATAAAAAATTTGAGCTGCACACCCCAGCCCTCATCCTTTGAAGACTTACACAAATGTTAGGGAGAGCACTGGGTTTCCCATTGTATTTGAGATGGCAACTGTTTTACTTAATCATTAAATGTGAAGCTGAAAAGCTCAGGAGACATTTAGGCAGCAGACTTGTGGGTTGCAGGCAGCAGTCTCATCCAAATCCTGCACAGATACCTAGCCAATGTCTATTTTTAGTCCTAATCTTGCCCAGGCTGCAGTCTGTCTGTCTAACTGCCTTGTTCATATGCTTACTGTACCTTAAAATTAACAGATGAAATTACTAAGTCTCCCTACAAAGATGGCCCCCCTCTGTATTGCTTATTTTTATTACTTTTTTCATTGTTTTCCCAAGGTGTTTCAGATAGACAATAGTAGAAGCTCATTAGATCATGGTGGATTACATCTTGATAAAAGCATTGTAAATTGAAAAAAATTGTTAAGTCAAAGATGCATTTAGTATACCTATGCACTAAACATGCTAGCTTAGCGAAACAGTACTCTACAGAGTACTTGTAGTTTAGTCTTGTCATAATGTGGCTGACTGGGAGTGTGGCTGCTTGCTGCTGCCCAGCATAGGGGGAGAGTACTGCATATCAGTAGTCTGATAAATGATCAAAATACAAAAACTTGTAGTATAGTTGTCTACTGAATTGTGTACCACTTTACCACCATTGCAAAGTTAAAAAAAAATGGCAAACCATCATAAATCAGAGACCATCCTACCAGAAATAGAAACAGCAATCTGACAATTCATGTCTCCATAGCTCAATGTGTTATAAGAGTTGCTACTGATTGATGTCATTTTTCTTTTCTCTAAAAGTGTCTTGACAATTATAAAGTACCTCTTACGAAAACTCTCTCCCATGATTCAGACAATAACTTTGTAAATAATCAGGTTTCTTTCCATGTTAGAAATTAGGAACTAGTACTTGGTGGAGAAGAATAGTTCACATACTGTTATTCCATGTAGTACCTTGCTGGACCAAGTTCTATAAGAACAATCAATGGCTCTCCACTTGGCTCTACCTTGGGAGAATCATGGGTTCCACCTCAAAACACTGCTCTCCATTGTTCGGTGGCATCCACTCATATACATAACTTCCTTGGTTTTAATGTGGCATCAATGTTGAGAAGTACTCTCCTAGACCTTGGC